TCCTAATCACCCCTGTAATATCATTTCAGTATCATTTTAACAATGGGTAAGACATGCAATGGATGTTTTACTTAAAGGAAAACACAAATATGACAACTGCAAAAAGTCTAGCAAGATGCTAAAGCAAAAAATGAAAAACAGCTTCTTTAAAAGAGGCAACAACTATTCAAATAACAAATGGTTCTTGAAGAAGCTAACAGTCAAAACTCAGATCTGCAAAAACATTGTGAACTTATACATATGTATGGCACCTAAAAGGCTCAAAGAAATATCCACGGAAACAAATCATTAAATAAAGAATACTATCTAATTTCACTCCCCAATATAAGTAGACACAGAATACACTATACACATAAAACACCATAGCCCTGAATTCCAAATACATATTAAGATCCCTCTTGGTTGAAGAAAAAAATGTAACTATTCAGCACAGGTATACTCATTTACTGCAAATGATTGCTTAGTGATGATTAAATGGTTTAGCAATCCATTCAACTGAGATCTCATCAGTAATACCAAGAGAGTAAATGTGAGATACTCACTTGATTCTGGTCATTCAATAATTCATGCATATCTTATTCATTAAACAATTATTTGCCGAATGCTTACTGTGTGCAAAGTACTGTGTTAGGCACTGAGGTAGCTACAAAGATGAGAGGAGATATTTATTATCTAATGAGGGACGCAACCCACAAACAAACAATTGCAACTGGAATTAAGGCAAAGAAATACGGAATGAACAGAAGAAATAGAAAAACTGCCCTGTAGATCTCTGCTTTTCCTTACGGCTATGATTAGATAAAAGTACAAATACACTGAAACATTCTTAAAAACCAAGACCTTGCCTTACCACATGAGTTCCCTCTTACGCTTATTTTTTTTAAAAAATGTATTGACTCTGCTGTCTACCACTGGCATCTGATGGCTTAGACTAATTAAGAAATACACATGAATACACTGTTGTACTGATTATCCATTTAAGTTTTTTAAAATACACATTTTGGGAGATGAGATATAGAAAGGTTTCAGGCTTCCCAACTTTGGGTTCTCCGCTGTAAGTTATTCCTTGGCTCCTTCCTGCCACATCCAGCAGTCCGCAGGATATAAGCGACTCTTCCCCCCCGCCCCCCCTTCTCAAGCTAACCACTACTCTAGAGCTACCAGCAGGCTCAGCTGATAGCCTGGGGTGGGTGCTGGGCTGGGCCTCGACTGAATGGCAGGCAGTCCCTGACCCATCACCCTGAGTTGGGATACTGATAGCAAGAGGAAAAGAGTCACTTGGGGAAACGTTAAGTAATTTACCAATACTTCACAGTATTTATACAAATGGAGGTGGGAGAAGGCCCTTTTAGAGAGTCCATGACAAGCTCCTTTTTGGTTTAGTTTCTGAACCAAGATAAATGTTTCAAAAAACCAGTCTCTAATGCTTGCCAAATTTAGTTAAGCTTGACAAACAAATATTCACAGTCTTGCCCCAACCTACCTCGCCATCCTCCTCTCTTGCCATTTTTGCCTACGTGCTTTTTGGCTCACGCCTCACTGAGCCCTTTTTATGTTTGCTGGGTGCCTCAGTCACTTCATGAAGTGTGTCCTTCTAAAATGCTAGTGCCTCAGCCTGCAGTAGTCTTCTTCCTGTCAAGTATTTTCACGCAGCTTTTGAAACAGCTCAAATACTCGCTCCCCAGCAAAGCCTCAGCTTACACAATGCATTGTTAAAAATCTGTGTCACCATGCTTATCTACCTCCTTATGAATCTGGTCACTTTTCTGTCTCTTGCTACTAGACTAGAAAGGCTCTGGGAGTGGAAAATTCTGTTGTGTTCATTTTTGTTACCCCAGGACCTAGTGCCAACAGAGTTTCAATAATTGGTCAATCACTAATACTTTGCCCAGAGTAAGCACTCAGTAAGTGTGTCACTGTTAGTAATTTTAGTCAAGGCTTGCTAAAAACTATTCATCGGCTCTTTGGTATTTGCATGCAAATGGAGCTGGGAAGAACAGGCCCTTTGGAGAGTCCATTGGGTAAGTAGTGAACCTGCTGTCCACCACGGTAAAGACACCTGAATCCTAGAACCACAAGAACTTTTGCTTAAATCTCACTTCTGCTCCTTCAGAAAGTTAACATGGATCATTTCCATGGAAACAATCATGTTAGTAACATGAGATACTGTGTAATAAACTTAGTTAAGTATCTCCAAGTTTGGTTCCTTTTTGTACTGCTTTCCCATATTCAGAGACTCTGTTGTGATATTAACTACAAAAATATTTTGTGTTGACATGAAAACTAGACATAATTCTTACTGGCATTACATTTAAGTAAGTCACATTAGCTACTGGTATTATATGGAAATTTAAAACATACAGTGTATTTCCATAGACATCCAAGTACTGCAGTGCCTCATCTAGCCAGCATATTTTGGTTTCTTTTAAAAGAATATAAATTATTTATCCAGCATTATCATGGAATAAGGTATTTCACAAACCAGACTTTTCTGGGTAACAAGTTTTATAAGCATCACTTATCTTCAAGGTTTAAAATATTCTCAATGGGTATGATCACACAATATTACACAGTTACACTTTAAAAAAAAAAAAGCCCAGCACAAGAAATATAATTTCACTTCTTAATGATTGAGGATCATTATCAATGTCAATTATTGCACTCTGCACCATCCATCCTGTAATACAATGGTACTCTAAAGGATTACTGATAAACACTGGGCTATTTGCCTTTATCCTAAGTGGATTCAGATTGTTTTTATGACTCCTTACCTCTCATTTTCTCTGCCTCCTCCCTCAGCTCACTGTCATCTTTTGAAAAATTACAGTTAGTGTGTTCTGATGGTTATTTTTCAAATAATTATCTAGGTAAGGACTGGTTAAGTTCTCCTAGAGAGCTAAGTGCATGCACTTAGTGACTGCAGTTTGCCAGTTAGAGGTCCCTCTTTCCTTCAATATTCCTAAATCCATGAGGCGGCTGAGATTGTCAAAATAATAACAGTTGAGAAAATGGTCCGTGGGTAGTGCTAGCGGTCACGTATATGCATCACTGGTTTATTACTTTTACTAAAGAATAATTAGTTTTATTATTAAGGTAAACCTTGAATTAGCTATCAACTATTTTAATCTAAGTAAAAATTGTTGTTCTTAATTAATTTAAATTTAAGAAGCCCAGTCATGAACTTCAGATTCAATATAAGTACTTGAATGTACTATATTATAGAGGGGGATCTTTCTTCAGTTACTGACTTTTAAAAAAAATTATATTTACTCTAGCATGATGGCATCAATATTTCAAATTCTAACTCAATCCTTTTCACCACTTTGTATAGATAGTCAGTTTCACTATATTTGATTTCTGTTTCATTAGGAAAATAAGAAGGGGAACGAAGAGAGGGGAAAAAAAGTCTTTTTCACTCATTATTTAAAAAAAAAAAACAACCAAACATTTAAGTGGGAAGCCATGTCTATAGAACAGAGAAACTCAGCAAAAGGGATGAAATCTGTTATTTTATAATTCCTGTCATAAATTTGGTTAGAATATTAATCCAGTCTTATTTCTGATCTTTAAAAATGAGAGAACTGGTAAACATTTGAAAGGTGTCATGGCAACAGATATCCACGAACTCTACAAGGCACTGAGATATAAGAAGAGCCAATCTTGCTCCTCAGGGTTAACCCAAAATAAAACATTCATTTTGGTTAACTTACAAATGAATGCTAGTTTATATAGCTCAAAATATCAGCTCAACTTAGAAAGTCATCCAGGGGCACCTGGGTGACTCAGTGGGTTAAAGCCTCTGCCTTGGGCTCGGGTCATGATCCCGGGGTCCTGGGATCGAGCCCCGTGTCCGGCTCTCTGCTCAGCAGGGAGCCTGCTTCCTTCTTTCTGTCTGCCTGCCTCTCTGCCTACTTGTGATCTCTGTCTGCCAAATAAATAAATAAAATCTTTAAAAAAATACAGGTTATCTATTAAAAAAATAAAATAAAATAAAAAGTCATACAACTAAAAACAAGAAGTACTGGAACATATAAATAAAGAATACAACATATTAACTTAACTGAATTAAAACAAAATAATCTTTTTTTTTTTTCCCAATAGAAAAGTCTACTTCTACTCTATACTGATTTCCATTGTACCTACAATAATGACCAACTTCATGGCAGTAATACTTTTCAAGTTTTAAAATAATAAATTTTAACAAAATGATTTAATTAGACAGTCTATTTCTTATTCAATAAACAAAGAAAACCGGTGGATTAAAATCTGGGTTACCCAGAGTTATATATCAAAAAGGTCCAAACCAGAACTGTAACTGGTGGTCAGCTGACCTGATCACTTATAGCCTTCCAAGCTCAGCATTCAGGATTTAATACTGATTCTTCGTACTGTCTCATCAGTGTAAGAAATATTTTAAACTGCGTTATTTCTTCCAGGGCATTTCTTAAGCACTTAGATGGTCATCTAAAAGATGGCTTGAGGGGAGCACAGGCCAAGGTCTCAGGATTAGAACTCACAATTGTGTAATTCTCTGATAATCTGCTCTGCAACTTCAGGAGTCCCATCATTCACTGTTTACACTCCAGCTCAAGAAAAATAACACAGAAAAACAAAAAACTCCTTCCACTTGGAAAAAAAAAAATTCCACTAGGATCTTTATAGAACAGTGATAGGTTTTCGCTAATAACTTGATAAAAGGGCATCCTGCAAAGATTTGCACTCTCTATTTTCAGAGGACTTTGAATTTAACATATTTTGTTATATATTTTGGAAATTTCCCACAAGTAAAAATAATTACTCCCTAAAATCTAATAAGCCTCCTGCTGAAAGTCGTGGACGTTAACCACTGTTTATCTATGTAGGTTAATAACTCTGTCCTTTAACTTCAGTATTCTAAGGAAATTCTTGAGTAAAATGGTTTGATTCCCTAGTAACTGTCTCTAACTCTAAGAAGAAAGGAGAGAAAAGTAAAATATCTTTTAGAGAAGAGGAGCACTTACTGGTACTTTGAAGGGTGAGGTATTTACAGTGTCCATGGAGTTGGGTTTCTCTGATGTACTGGTCCCTGAGATACTCCGTCTGCGGGGGGACCTTTCTGCCGGCACCTCTGGAAAAGAAGAAATGTCATGAAGAAACCAAAATTTAGGAACTTTGACTACATTGTACAATTAGTGAGGTTTTCTCCTCCCACAAAAAAAAATTAGTTTGCTTTAAAGGTACATTACATTCTATCTCCACATGATTTATCTCTTTATCTCTGTGGTATTCGAACTCTCAAGGTACTAGGGAGTCCTGGCCACACTTAAGAAATCTGTTTTAGCATGACAGATTATATCTGTGCACATATAAAAAGTAATTTTTTTCTGTGCTCTGTTTAATATCTATAAATTCACTTACTATTGCTTTCTTACAGTGTATGAATCTATTTCCTTATTTGTCAGCAATACAGGAGTTAATAGAATCCAAAGACATTTTTTATATTCTTGGGAACAAAATACAGTCTTGTGTTGCATATGATCTGATGGTGTCTGCACAAAGGTCAAAGTTCAGTTCTGTGCAGCTAGGATGATTCAACAGCCTGCAGCCAAAGGGCCACGAGACGACTGAAAGCTGCTGCTAGGATAAAATAACATATATGCCTATGCAGGTATAAAAATAGATCAGCGTCTCCTTGTGCTGGCAAGATGACCTTACTGAAATCTTACTCTGGAATCCTAAATCTGTTCAAATTGACCCAACAAGCTTCGGATTTTGCAGATGAGGTGATATTTTCTCATTTAATTACTCTACACCATACTCAGGTTACATTTAAACAATTCTCTCATAGAGTGATAAAAATATATGCATATATACATATGCACATACACGCGCACACACGGATGATAGATATACACACATTATACCTTTATCACAACTGCTTCCCATCTCCACTTGAACTGACAGACATATAGGAATCCAGCTTCTCAGATAACATTAGATAAGCTCAACATGGACAAGGAAAGAAAACACATCCTAAAAGAAGTATTCTGTATTATCTTCCAGATCTTAAAAAACAAGGAGTAAATCGTGACTCCGGAGACCGACATTTCGATTCCTGGTGTTCTCCCTTTAAAGGATAGATGCAGTTTAAACTTCCATTTCTGGCCTCCTGGCCCCTGGGATCCGTGCTACTTCCACTTAAGAGAAAGCGTTTTTTCTCTCGCTCCCTCCCCGTGTCTTGCTCTTCCCCCTCCCTCGCTACAGCCTGCGGAGAGCAAGCGAGAAAGAAACACACAGGACCGCAGCTATTCAATCAATCGTGCCAACTGCACATCCTCATTAGTTACTTTCAGGCTATTAGCAGACGCCCAACCACTGCCTTCCCTCAGTTACAGAAAATTTCACTGTATCACACTAATCTGCAGCAAGATAAAACATTTACTGAAATTTATATTCAGCTAGTGCCAAAAGGACACCATTTTACACAGACCTAGTAAGGTACACAAATCAATCCCTCCCATGAAAATCCAATCGGAAGTGCTTACCCTATTACTATCTTTGCACGCTGGACACTGATTTCCTTTCCATGACTAAACATATCTTCTGTGTGACATCTTGACCCGTAAAACATAAGCCAAATTGCAACATTCCCAATGACTGAGAGGTTGCCAACATAGCGTCTTATACGCCTGCAGTACAAGAAAGTCCCATGCTATCACTGTTACAAAATTACAACCAGTAACTGTAAGTCTCTCAACTTCTCTCTAAACCATCAGTGGTTAAATGAGCCTTAATGTACAAAGTCATTTTCAGAATCAGACACACACGACTTCTAAAAAAATGGCAGTATAATTAGCTAAAATTCACGGCAATGGCACAAAGCACCAAATTTAAACAAATCAGCTTTGCAAAGCACACGGAACAACAAGACCTTCAGACTTTAGGAACGTGACTTTAAAGAGTGATTATCCAAGTTAGGCATTTCTGCTGTATGGGGGGCTGGCTGGTGGGGAAAGGGGCTGGTAAAGATAAAAGAAAATTTCATCCTTCCTCTGAAGATGACCTATAATTAGAAGATACATGAGATTGAATATTATAACATATTTTAATATCTGAATAATTGACGGAGAAACCAAACCAGGAGAAAATAAGTTCCATTAGCAAGAATAAAATGATCCAGTAAACAGTTTTCCTTAATTTGCAATGTTCTGGATAAGGGAAAAAATGGAAACTTATTTCCTCATTTTCTTTCAAATATCTAATTTTAGTTTTCAGGCATCTGAACTCACTAAATAAATATATTTCCAGGCTTTTAACATTGTGAAATTACATTGGCTAAAATGAGCAGCCACATTTTAAACTCTAACAAATATGTTATTTGTTGTACTTCTCTTTATCTTTTAGAATCTCTTTCTGCATCATGAAAAAAAAAAATCACAGCTCTGGCATAGCTTAAAGAATACCACTGGGTTCAAAAAGGAGAAATTAAATTTTTCTTGAAGTTTGAACAATTGCCACTAAGAGGGCATAGCGGAAATAAGCTAACTAACTAATGATGAGAGGTCCACACTTCCTTTCTCAGCCCCCACAACAATGCAACTTAACTGAGAATGCACAAAAGGCCTTTGAATACCCAAGTTCTTACATTTTCAGAAGATTCAGAACTATTTCAAAGCCAAGAAAAGAATATATACCCCAAGCACCAATGGCCACGTAGAACCAGGTAGCAGCCTCAGCAAGGACCGAATTGGATTAGCCACAGGGAAGCCTGCATATGAAACTGGTCCAGCTACCTTTAACTTTAAATCGCCAAGCAGAAAGGAAAGCTGCTACTATGCTCTTAAAGCCACATTTCTGAGTTGGAAGGAAAATCTATACTGGTTCCAGTAGACCAAAATTAGACAGCTCTCTCCCTTGCCCCCTCTCATTCTACATATACCACATTATTTTCATCCGCTATAAAAATTATTGTTCTGTTCATGATCATAATATTTAATCACAGTCATTTTTAAATGTGTTCACTCTCTAAGATTGAGACAGAGACCTTATAATATTGTTCCAGTAAAGGTCTGAAACTGTTTTGTTCACTTTCTCATCCTCTGAAAATATTTTTCATCTTCAGACTGAAAGGCAAAAAAAAAGTTATGAAATATAAAAGCCTGGTTAAGTTTTAAATTTATTTCTTCATTTCCTGTGCCACTGGGTATAAACCAAGATGAAGTGACCACTTCTCTTAATAAGAGATAACCTGCAATACAGCTCCACATGGGACATAAATTGAACAAAGAGAACATGTGGACGCTTTTCTTAGCAACTCTACCAATGATCTGTGTGATCTGGTGTAAGCTATCTCACCTTTTCTGCTCTGGTCTTCATTAATAAACTGGGTTATTCAGACCAACCAGAGATGAAGCCAAGATGAATGAGTTTATATGCTTTGGTGCAAAATTAGCTTTTCAGAAGAAAGGGGCTCTCTAAATCCAAAGTCTGGTATCATAACATCATTTATTCTATACAATACCTGTTTTCTTCCCTGTTCATGTGCCTTCTTTGGAAAGTGTGGCAAAGAAATCGACAGTTGGAGCTTCATAGGGGCAAAGGCACTTTTGGTGGAGGACATGCTTGTTCAACAGGAGAAGTCAACCTCTGCCTTTAGAACCTAGTTGTTGTGTTGTTCATGGCCTTAATTCACTTATTAGGAAGCAACTGTCAAAGGAGCGCAAACAAGTAGGACAGTGTAAGGGAGATGGAGAGGTGTAGTAATTTCACTACAGTAATTATAGTGAATGGGTAGTTGTGCTAAAGAGAGGAAATGTGGAAGTCATCCTGCAGGTTTAGTAGGGAAGAACACTACAGGCAGAGGGAAGCCAATATGAAGCTTCTAGGGTGAAGGGCAGCATGGAGGCCAGTCGCACTGCAGTTAATAGGGACAAAGAGTAGAAGAAAGTCTGAGACTGGGGCAGGTGTGCTCAGGCCAGGTAGGCTCTGTAGGCCTATGTGTAAAGACTTGAGCTTTCTACTCTGAAGTGAAAAACGGCCTGGTCAAACAGATTTCATCAAAAGGTACAAATCACATAGAAACCTTATGGCGATATACTTACTGGCACTTTCTTAATTATTTTCTTTTCAGGACTTTGAAAAATTACTGAAATAATTCTGGAATATTATTATGTTTGGGAAGAGAATAAAGGTTAATGTTTATCGGATTAACTGAGGGTTAGGTTCCAAAAGCCTCTGAAAATATCTTAGATGAGAAAAGTATCTGTTGTCCTTATGGCCAAATATCGATAAGCATCGACTGCATTTATTTTTGTTCAATCACATTTAACCAAAGTTTGTATACCATCACATCATATACGTATATATTAACATAAATAACAGGGTCAGATTTCATGAATTCTGATAATGTCTGCCACTCTTAGGATGAGTTACCATTGTTAAGAAATGATTTAAAATACTTTCTCTAAAGAGAGGTACTATAAGTTATTTAGGGGCGCCTGGGTGGCTCAGTTGTTCAGTTAGTGGCTGCCTTCGGCTCAGGTCATGATCTGGGGGTCCTGGGATCGAGCCCCGCATCAGGTTCGCAGCTCAACGGAGAGCCTGCTTCTCCCTCTCCCTCCACCTGCTGTTCTGCCTAGTTGTGCTTCTCTAGCTTTCTGTCAAACAAATAAATAAAATCTTTAAAAAAAAAGTATTTAGGTACCTCTTTGAGGCAGAAGTATTTTTATGATAATTTTAGCTAATATTGAGTTTGTTTTGTGCTAAGTGCTGGATCTGGACGCTATCTTTCTTTATCCTTGGGGCAGCCCCTAATAATTATAACTCTGTTAGATGAGCATCGGGGCCAAATTTAAAAGAAGAAAATAATACTTACCAATGTGAAAGTAATTTCAGAAAATTCAACACAAAAGATGATCAAAATGTAGAAAGACATTTATGTAGAAAGTTTTAATGTAATGTAATGTAGAAAGTTTTAATTTGGTGGACAATGATGTACACATGCTGCTGAAGCGAGCACAAGTGGACAATGATGTAAGGAACCAAAATATCCTTCTTATAGCAAAATTCTCTAGTTATGAGATATCAGAAAACCATTACCTGCTCATGGGTGCAGTCAGTGCGGCATCA